CCCCACACACACACATACACACCAACATGAATGTTTTTGACAATAATTGAATAATAATTATTTCCATGCTTTTCTGCACCAGCTCATGATCACATCACTCTATATTGTGTGTTTCAACCAAAAGCTTGTAGTTTCAAATAAAAGTCTGACTACCCAAGACTACCTTTGTGTTTGAAAGCCAGATAACCAGCGGACATAGCGGCAGCGGTTTCCATGGCAACATCACTTCCTGGCTTGGACGCAGTGATCTTGTAGGACGGTCTCGGCATAGTCATCTTCTCAGGTGGACCCCAGTAGTTGTGGTCACGGTTGCCATCTCCCACCTTGCAAAAGAGCACCAAAGTTTGTTTGTATTACATTGTTGGTGTGAACGCCCCATTCTGTTGAATGTGTCAAAGTTTTCTTTTGAAACCTAACAGAAGATGGAAACAGGGTATAGAAACCTGGCTTGGAACTAAAACAACTCAAGGAGGTAGAGAGGTAAAAGGGATCGGTTTTTTTTTTCCTTTTTTCTTTTTGCAGAAAGATCCGAGAAGAAGTAACACCCAAGTTTTGGAAAAGCTATGAAGCAGAAGAACAGGTTGATTTTGTCGATAGTGCATCGAAACTTGAAGGAGGCAGCAACTATTTTTTCGATATCAAAACATATTTTAATATAGTAACAAATAACAGGTGGTTGCAATGTAGTGGTTAGGCTCTTCGCCTTAAACATTTAAAGAGGACATGTTTTCTACAACGCTAGCAAACGAAATGTTTTGTTTGACACTTCCTTATTCATGCAGATTTTTCACTTCTCCTTTCTTTATCAGAATCTTATAAAAATCAGCTTATATTACTTATAATGAAGTAAGGAAATTTGTGGTTTTCATTCACTTGTGTATTGTGTTTCGAAATGTGCCGAAACACTGACTTTGGTCTGTTGCTGGTCAAACAGATGTATCTGTTTCGTCTTTGAAGAGAAGAGTTAATATTATTTTGCTTTTAGATAGGATTTTGTTTGGTTTCAAGCGTCTTTTCACGACCTGTTGGTCTTACAACCCGTGAAGGTAGCAGGGGCACGGTTGTGTGCCACATTTGAAGTATAATGTCACTGTCACTGATCCCATAATCCACCAGGATCGTAGGTGCCCTGCACGATAGAGAGTCTCGTCAGGTGCCTCCACCTTTCACCTTTTTTTTCTTCTTCTTTCGGTCTCTCCCTCTCTCTTTTCCTCTCCACAATTTCGTCTATATATCCCCTTCCAACCCAAACTCATTTACTCTTTCAACCACTCACATATTTCCCCAGTGAGTCTCTCACCTGCACATACAGCTCATTGGGCCCTGTGTGACACTTGAGCAGATATTCCAACGGCCACCGTATACAGTCCAGGAACTCGTCCTCCTGACCTGCAGCCTTGTAGGCCTCGGGGAAGAGGAGATAACCCCAGGTGAGCACCGTGGTGCTGTAGGACATGGGAAAGTTGAACTTGACGTGGTCACCGGCTGAAGTGAGAGAGACAAGATGTTTGTCTTACTGAACACCGTTTATGTCCATTTAAAATACATTTCTGTATGAATTTTTACTGAAAATCGTCGATCAAGCTTCAAAGCCCCCCCCCCCCCAAAAAAAAGAAGTAAATTTGCAGTTTCCAAGAACACTCAAGCTGTTAAAGTCACCAAAACTTTGGGGGCCATTTTTTTCCTCGCAAATTTAACTTCTGGCTCCAGGCAAACACCACCTCATCTAATTGCAAATATCTCGACATCTATTGAATTCTTTTTTTACACTCCCATCGACACAATTTAGATCATTTAGGAGGTGGGCTTACGACCCTGCCTTTCAGGGATCCAACATCCCAGCATTTAGACCGAGATACTCAGAAAACCATTTTCTCCACTTTCACGATTCTAACTCGGATCTCCTTCTTGCGACAGCGAAGCGTCTAACCGCTACACCACAGACGCTGGTGACGTCTATTGAAGATAGATAGGTAGTTCTTTGTCAGCAAAAGCAATAAAATGGACTAGCGTTAAGATGATGCTGCCACCAGGTCGTGACAAAAACCCATTGTGGGGTGGGGGGAGTGGGGGGAGTGGGGGGAGTGGGGGGGGGTAACACATTGCCATTTATACAGGTAATTGCTTTAGACGTTCGCACGTTGGAACAGATTTGACTGTATATTTAAAAAACCTGAAGTAACTGCGCCTCTTTTGAACATCGTTACAAGGTAATGAAGAATCGAATCCGATCCAAACTGTTGTGACTCACCGTCATACCAGCCCCCGGTCAGGTCCTCTCCATTCTCCCCTTGGTCGTGCAATGCTGAGTCTCCTCTGTAAGGAATACGGTTCGACGCTGGAAGCTTTCCGGATCTCTGAGTCTCGTAGAACAAAATGGACTTGTACAAGACGTCGTTGTAGTTGTACTTGGAGTTGTCATCTGTGCAAAAATAGCATGCTTTGGTGGATATTTTGACCAAATAAGGTGGGGAAAGGAGAGGGGGTTGTATATAGAGAATAGTACATTAGCCTGACATAATTGAAAGGGTTTTGAATCCATGAACTGTTCTGATTTTGTTGAGACTATTTCATTATGAATTAGATTCGGATGACCACTCAATTCTGTCTTTGACTATTCCTTTTTGAGGTTTATCTTGCTATGATGTGACTTTATAGATGTAAATATTCAATTCAACTACTGGTACTTCGGCAAAATTATGTGTGTGTATTGTCTCTTGAACAACGTTTACGGTACATGTTTATTGCGAAGAGAGCTTTTAACTTTGACGGTTATGACCTTTTTCACTTTACTAGACAGCCATCGTATGTCTACGATATTGTATTTATTAGTTGGGACTGTAATGAAACCTTTTCAGATGCTTGACCAATGTTTACTTACGATCAGGTGCTGTGTCGAATTTCCAGGAGTCCACACCCATGTTCATGAGCAGGGCAGATCCATCTGGTGCTGGCTTCCCTCCTTTGTAGTTGCCGAAGAATCTGAGAGGTTACGTAGACGGGGTGAGGAGAGAAACAGGAAAAGTTGATGGTGAAGGAAAAAAACAAAACATTCCAAAGTTTAAACAGGAATGTAGAGAGCGCAGTTGGTGGAGCGGGTTGTGGGTGGGGGAGGAGCGTTGAAAGTCGTGGGTATCTATCTATCTATCTATCTATCTATCTATCTATCTATCTATCTATCTATCTATCCATCCATCCATCCATCCATCCATCCATTCATCCGTGTTTCAGTTTGGAGATTAAATAAGGAAAGGGCGAGAGGGTAGGGGGGTCGAGGAGGGGGAAGGGGGTAATGGAGATCTATGTCTATGTGAAGAAAAAGTACTAGTGTTGCAATAACTTAAATGTCCGACGCAGCATGATACGTCAAAGAACTCACCAGACGTTAATAATTGCACGATTTAGAATTTCACTTAGTGTAATGTAAGTTACTGTACCACGCAGGAATCCGTTTTCAGTGTTCAAAGTTTGATTTTTTTAAACTTTTAAACCAGACATGGAACTTCTCCAGAATTTTCTTTCGTGGAATCATTCTATTGAATGGTGATGTTAAACATAACATCTCAAACAAAAATTGCGTGACTATGACTGCGGGTAAATCTTCAGTTAGGCTTTGCTTTCAGTAAACATTTAAACTTTTACGCAACATGCGTTTAATCAGTCAACGTTCTCAAGCTTTTTTTCCTTGGTTTCTAATTTCGACAGCCTGTTTCCACTTTCTTGATTTTATTCATAGGACGGTCGCAAAATTCAATTGTCGTTACAAATGGCTTCTTATTTATTGTTTTTCACCCTCACACAGTCACTTTTTACATTTCCCGTTTTGAATAAAGGAGAATAAAACTGGTGTCTGATTATTTGGACAAAACCATGGAAAACACGACAAAAATTCTTGAAAAAAGATTCCCCCCCCCCGCCCAAAAAATAAAATAAAACACAACAAAAAGCAAAACTAATTACAGCAACAATGACAACAACCAACCCTCCCCCCAAAAAACCCGAAACAAACCCCAACCAAACAAAAAAAACCCAAACAAAAAACAAAACAAAAAACAAAAACAAAAACAAAACAACAACAACAACAACAACAACAATAAACAACAACAACAAACAAACCACCACCCCCTAAAACCCCCCAATGATAAACCTAAAACCTGTTCTACTCACTTGAGAGTCATCGTGTCACCGGCCTTGAATATCGGACGGTCTTTCTTGTTGACCAGAACCCATTCCTTCCCGTTGCTGGAGTGTTGATAGGCGTCACCAATCATAATCTACAGCATGGTTTATAGAAAGGAAGGAGGAAAGAGGGAGTCAACGAGAGGATTCATGGTATGATCGTTGTTGTAAATTATGCATGGTTAGATTCATTACTTCAACATGCGCGTGTACGCGCGGGCGCACACACACGCGCGCGCGCACACACACACACACACGCACATATGCACACAAGCACATACACACACAAACACACACACACAAGCACACAAACACACACATACACGCAAA